CAGCGGAGCCAGGGACCGGCCTGGCCTGGCCAGAGCTCGGGGAAAGCCCCGCAGGCCCCCCCCGGCCCATCTCCCGACCGGGAGACATGGCAGGCCCAGCCGCATGGCCTGGGCAGGGAACGGGAGGCCAGCCGGAGCTCTGTTACTTTGCACAGCCAGGAAACAGAAAGAACCTAAGTGCCCTGACTTTACATCTTAAGGTAGGGTTCACAAGTTGATCTCCCTTTTCAATGGTTAAAATTGCTGTCTATCCCCAGTAATGACCAATAATTGGTCAGGAGAAGAGACTCCTTTCAGTCCCCAGAAACTTCAACTTCCTTAGCTCTCACAACTACCTTAAAGGTAAAGTCACTTCATGACAGATGCTAACTCTGAAACAGAGAGCATGTGAAACTGCAGGCCACATAGCTTTCTCAGTCTTGCCTGAGAAAGTGGCCTGGGAAATTCATAGGGAGGAATTAAAACAATCCTCAGAGACAGAAAACAGCCTTGCAGGTGCTGTTTGTCTGTTCCTTGTTTTCTTTGCAGGAGAAGGTCGGGGGGTGGTGTGCCCCACTGACCAATGATGGTAATGTATTAGTTTGCTAACCAATAAGAGTTCCCTTTCTATACTTTCCACGTATCGGTCTATAAAAAAGACCTGAAGTAATAAACTAAGAGAAATTCTCCTGATTGACTCCTAGAGAGTCTGTGTTGTTCATTCTCGCCGTTCCTAATAGAGCAACAGACATTCATTAAGTTCAACCCTTAAAATGAACACACACGTGATGTTCTGTAATTCTGTCTTTTTTTTCATCTGGCCTTGTAATTTTTCAAAATAAACTTCTCAAGATGCTTAGTATCTTTAGAAACAGCTTAAAAAAGCCTATTCACTCTATTTCTCCCAATATTCTAGATTTCCTGAAAAGTTAGGAGAGAAGGGGAAAGGAAAAAAGGGAAAAAAGGTGCAAGAAACATGCCAACTCTGTTTCCAGGCACAGGAAACTCAGCCTTCATTTAGAAGCAGCAAACTGGAAAAATTTGTCATTACTTTAATAATTTGGTAAGTTAACCCTCATTTTAAAGCTGTAGTTTTATAAGTTTTATAAGAGAAAATCCAACATTGACCCTGTTTCACAAATTCAGAATAGCATTAAAAAACTACTGAGAAAACAGGCCATAAGGAATGCTCTGGGACAGCAGCTTTAGCACAACCACCAGTCCTTGTCAGCAGCATAAAAACTGCAAACCTCCTAAATGTAACAGTCTGTAACAATCTTCACTATTTCTTTTACATAACAAAGGTATTCGGTTACAAATCCTGTAATTTTGATGAAAAGCAGATACATGGTATTTCTCTAATAGAAGAAAATTAAAGGAAGCTAATTTAAAAAAATACCCTGCTTAAGTTTAGAAAATTTAGTAAAACCCACCCTTTATGCTTTTCTAAAAGAACCACCCAGTCATAAACCAGCATTATCTAATTACAGAGAAACACAGTTCAATTAAGAAAACCATAGCTTTTACTGCAAGCCTTTTCCATCTCCATGCTTCCTGTATCTCAGAAGTCCTCCTTGTTCAATGTCCCTGAAAAAAATACTTCCTCCTCAGATAACATACAGTGGTATTTGCTGGGGTTATTTAACTTTGGGCTTTGCACCATGCAGTTATAAATTTAATAATAACCTGCAATCATTTTTTGTGGTTCTAAGAGATCATAATAAAGCTAACATGCCTAACTAAGGATTTACCAGTAAATAATCCGAATGTTTTAATTTGGTATAGGATTGATAAAGGAGAGGAGAAATGCATGGATACCAGCTGTGTATCAACCCTGTCAAATGCAACATATACAACATATATAATCAGAAAAGGATACTCAGCTGTCAATACCCCAAAGAAAAACATGCAGTGACCTGCAGTATTATCAAAATGGTCACCGCAACTCCTGGATTTTGGGATATAAGTGACATGAAAATTAACACCTGTAAGTGATACAGGGAAAGCTTAAGCTAGCAGTCAGAAAATCATTGGTTTTCCTGTAGTCTCCAAGCACTTTTGAGTGAAACAGAAAAACCTAGCTGAGAATGCACATGAGTACAAGAAGTGCTTTTTCCAAACAAGCCCCAGCCAACAGAAGGTAGTTAAAGATTTATCTTTACTATTCCAATACTAGTAGATTTTTCCTTCATTTATAGTTTTCAAAAATATGTAAAGCTGACTTACTGATGCAAAATATTGACATCTGCACTGTGTTCATAATTTCCATGAAAGTTTAAAATTGGAGTACTTTTGAAAAAGAAGCACTTCTGCTCTCCTTTATGTGCTAAAGATTAAAAAATGCAGTTTGCAATTGTTTTAAGCTACCTCTCTCTATGGAGCTTATTCTGTAGAGATTACTTGACAGAGATTGATATAACCACTCTACTAAAGAACTCCTGAACAAAATTTTAGTTAATCTCTTCCAAGGTTACTTAAATAATCATTTCACAGGTTATATCATAACCTTACTTCCAGGCACTTCACTGGAATGTTTCTTCTTTAAACACATTATTTTATTCTAACTGATAATCTTAATTTTTCAATTTTTTGAATATTTACCTACCAGTTAAGTAACAATCACTAGAAAGCAATGAAAGCAGCAGTAAGTGATGTGGTTCTGATTATACGCAAGTCAAAACAAAACAACAATTCCCCCCAGGAAATAAATAATGATTTGTCTAAAATATTCACTCATATTTTGTGTTTATCTTTAAAAGTCTAAGCAAGACTTGGAATCCAGGAAACAACATGGATGTTTAGAAGTTAGAAAAACTACAGGGAAGAGGGCAGGGTTATGAAGAGAAGCATGAACAACTTTCTTTTACTTTTCCATCTATTTTTATCCAAATGTCCCTTGTTAGAAAGACAACCAGACACTTCAATAATCTGCTTTCAGCCACTTTATTTTGCAGTGGGCGGTCATATGTAAGGGCAACTAATTTCTAAACACCATATTTTCTGTGTCTTCAATTTAAGAAGATTAATTAAGTAATCTGACAAAATATATACTGAGCAATATTGTTCCATCAATCAAATTCAACACAACTGGTGAGTTTGCTCATAAATTAAATCACAAACATACCAGAGATGGACATGAAAACATTTTCAAAATAATGATGAAGGAAGATCTAATAAGCATTAGAATGGTGTGTTGCAAATTTTGAGACATGATATAATGATGTGATGAAAAAGATTATTATTTAAAGAAAACTCTGGAGTTGAAATTTTTCACTAACCTTTCTGTGCAACATCCTGGACATTCATTCTTTTTGGCAGTTACTGTCATTGTGCAAGAAGAAAAAATATAAGCAGTCTCAGGAAGTATTTAGGAAGTGTTCACATAAATCTTGGTAAGTCAGTAATGTATTTCATGATGCACAGATCAGTGTGTAACATAACTATTCTGTAGCTTCTTTATGTATATATTATAGGACTGTCATGGAGTTACTTTACCTTAAAGGGAGTTGGAGTTGCTGGGAAGTGCTTGGAGTCTTTTCTCCTGACCAATTATCGGTCATTGCTGGGAATTGACAGCAGTTTAGGCCATTGAAAAGTGGGATCAACTTGTGAACCCTACCTTAAAGTGTAAAAGCAGAGCTCTCTGGGTTCTCTTTGTTTCCTGGCTGCGAAGGGTGGCAGAGCTTCAGGCCTCCCGTTCCCTGCCCAGGCCATGTGGCCGGGCGGGGACGG